AACCAGTCTGTGAATATCTCAAAAATAATACGTCCATAGTCATACACAACGACCAAATACAACATTCAGTAGACTAAAGTAAATGTCTACCTCTACACCAGAACACTTGCGCTATAGTGCGAGAGACAATCATCACTCCATCACTTTTTGACTGCCTTCTACGGCCAGGACCTGTACCAAATGAGCCCATGCAGCTCCACAGTGATTTGCATTACAGTGTTGCTAAAAAATAAAAAGCTGTACTTTCCCCTAATAAGAGAAAAAGTAGAAATATTAAAGACCACCCTCCCTAGAACGTGTATTAACGACATAGTATATACAAAAATAGTCTGGGAACAGTAATGTGCTGTCTGATTATTTTTTCTGGGCCAACAAAATCTGTAAAATCTCCTCCTTCATTAAAAATTCCAGAAAATCTATGAATGCGGAAAAAATGTTCATTTTCTTCAAAAATTTTTCCTGCTGGACATAAGACTCGTCTCGCTACTGTCGCCGCTGCTAAAACAAGTCCATTCTCACAGTACTGTGACTGTGGCTTTGAAGTTTTTACAACCGACTTCCAAAATCTATTTGTTGAACATCCAATGCTCGTAGCTTCGTGGGCTCCACCCAACCGATTTATGTTGCAAAAACCCTGTCCTTCCCAGGCTTTTAAAATAACTTTCCAACTATGTGGCTCTACGAAATTTCTTTTTTTATCCAGGAAAACTGGAAAATAATTATTTCCAAATGATGCCAGATTTTTTTCTGGGTTTTTCTAATTGTTTTAAATTGCTTGAAAAGCAAGTGGCAAATGAAACCTTCCATAAAATGGGAAAAAAAAATCTCTCTGCACGGGAGGAATAGCTCCCCGCACCTTTTAGCTGTAAACCTGACACATTCAATTCAAATTTCAATTCAAAAATTTTATTTGTATAAAGCGCCAATTCATAACAGAAAGTTATCTCGAGGACACTTTTCAAAAAATAGACAGGTCAGACCTGAAACCTCCTTTAAAACAATTTAACAGAGACCTCAAACCCCAGTACCAACCATGACAAGCATTGGCGACGGGGGCAAAGGAAAATACTGCCCTGTTAAAAGACATCTTAGATAAGCTTCGACACTCTGTAATAGGACCATCATCCCTTACTATAAAACTCTTCAATGGTCAGGCCCTTCAATATCTTGAAGAGCTTCATAGTACCTATTACCTCCTAGAAACACTGAGTTCTCCCTGAATGCAAGGCTAACTTGTGGTTCTGATATCTCAAAAAGTAGAAACAGGCTAATCCCCAACCTAGGCCTGCTTAAACAGAAAAGTTGTCACCCTGCTAATTTGGCAACGTTCTTTACTGGATATGATCATCCTTTCTTTATTAATCAGGATATGTACCGCCAAGTCCCTTTAAAAGTAGCTTTAATACAAACCTTCCGTTATAAAAGCCCCTCTCCCCTCGACCCAGGGGTTTCTTAGCCAAACTATAGAACCGATTTCTAACCTCCCTTCTCTCTAAGATTCGCTTGAAAAAACTAGTCGGCCAAAACAAGTTGTTGATTTTTACATAGCAAATAATATCTAATTTGAGGATTTTCAGTCCCCCAGGATTTAGAAGTTCATCAACAGCACAGACACAGCTCTGGTTAAAGTTAGTAATGACCCTCTTTTGATTGCCTCTGACAATGGTCATTGTCTCTGTACTTGTATATCTAGATCTTAGTGTCTGCATTTGACCACCCAATTGAACCAATGAATATTCTTTTACAGAGACTTGAAGGCAACAAATTGGCAATTAAAGCGAAGCCGCATAAAGCTGGTTTTAAAGTCTATTCTATCAGACTTGTTTGCAGTTTGTACATGTTACGATGAATCTTCAATAAATACTAGAGTTAGTCCCATGGAGTTCAAAGGTTCTTGTACCTGGACCAAATTCTATTTACTTTAATTGACTCCCCTTTAGGCAACATTATTGAGGATCGACTCCATTAACTTTCCACGTGTTATGGCAGATGATACGCAGTTTATATCTATCAATCCAAAGCCCGATGAAAATAATCTAAGTTATCTAAAATTTCACAAAACCATGTCTTAAGGACAATAAAACGTGCTGGACTGAGCTGCAATTTCTCTGAATGTTAAACTTCCAGAAAAAAAATGAATTTCTTCGTACCTGGCCCCAAAAAAATCTTAGAGACTCACTGTCTAAAGATATAGTTATCTAGAGGCATTGCCTTGGCCTCCCCTAGCACACTGGGTCAGCGAATCTTGGAGCTATCCTTTGATCAGGATTTGTCAATTTAACTCCCGCCAAATAATAAAAGCAGTCTCCTAGGAACTGCCTTCTTTCATTTACGTATATTACGAAAAAATTAACACCATCCTGTCACAGACAGATGCAGAAAGAAACTAAATCGCGATTGGCATTTTTACTTTAAGGCCTGGATTTACTGCAACCTCCACTTTATACGCGAGCGACGTTGCCGCTATAATCCATTAAACACGCTCCAATTAATAAACAACCCGGCCGCCGCACGAGTACGTGACAGGAACTAAGGAAGAAGAGATCACACCTCCTCTTTCCCGGTTGCTAGCTTTCTCCTGCATTGGCTCCCTGTTAAAGTATAAGAATAATAATAAGATAGAATTTAAAATTGTCCCTCCTCACCTATAAAGCTCTTCCATGGTCAGTGCCCCACTGTTTCATATCCTTGAAGAAGCTCAAATAAGTACCCTAATTACCCCTCTAGAACACTCGTTCTCTGAATGCTGGACCTGAACTTGTGGTTCCTACAGTCTCTAAAGCAGAATAGGAGCCCAGAGCCCTTCAGCTTAACCAAAAGCCTCCTCTCCCTGTGGAGACCAGCTTCCAGTTGTGGTTGACAGACACCCTGTCGCACATTTAAGAGTGGCTTAAGACGTTCTCTGTTGACTAAAAGCTTATAGTTTAGGACGGGTCAGGTGAGTCCGTGAACCATCCTCTTAGTTATCCTGGCTATAGGCCTAGACTGATCGGGGGGATTTCCATTGTGCACCGTGAGCCTCCTCTCTTCTCTCTCTCTCTTTCTGCACTCAAATTCCATGTCCCAATTTAATGCATGTTACTAACTTTTCTTTCTTCCCCGGAGTTCTTGTGCTTTAATTCGTCTTGCAGGTTCTTATCGATCCTGGTGGAGCCTCCCCTGCCATGTCCTGCTGGAGTTGCCATTACAATACTGTTGTTGCTAATGCACTGTCCTGTCTGTCTGTCTGTCTGTCTGTCTGCAGTCTCTCTCTCGTCCTCCTCCTCTCTGTGTCTCTGTCTGTCTCTCTCCTTCGTCCCCTCTCCTCTCTTCTCCTCCTCTCGACCCCAACTGGTCGAGAACAAGACGCACCACCCACCTAAAGCCGAAGGATCTGTCCTAGGTTTTCTGCCTGTTAAAAGGCAGTTTTTCCTTTGCCTTTTTTGAACGCCAAGTGCTTGCTCAATGTGGTACTGTTGGGCCTGTAAATGTTAGTAAGGATCGGTCTAGACCCTGCCTCTATTTGAAAATTGCCTGAAGAAAATAAACTTTCTGTTATGAATTGGCCGCTAATAACAAATAAAATTGAATTGAATTGAATTGAATTGTTGCGAGCCACACCCTGAGAGGTATAAGAGGACTTTGTGATGAAGCCGGCGGTAATGTCATGCTAACTGACCTATCCTTGTCTGTTTAAAAAAAAAAAAGTGTTAAAGTGCTTTGAGTGGTCTGAAGACTAGAAAGGCGCTATACAAGTACAGGTCCATTTACCATTTTCAAAGCTTTACAAATACTCTGATTCTTCAGAGTATTCTTAGTTTCTCTAAGTAGCTGTGTAAGACTGGAAATGAAAGTCTTACTAAGTACTGACAGTGTGACTTTTGCACAATGTATGACAAACAACTATGGATTAATGTTTGCTAAAAATATTGTTTTATGCTCCATATCCTAGATAGACTTAGTTTTCAATTTATCATAAATAAATCACCAAAATGTTTTATTTGTTAAGTAGCGCCACAACAACATCATGCAGTAGCACATCTGTATCACATCCCTTTAAACCCTATACCTTTTTCTCAATTTAGTTTCTCTTTCTCCTCTTCTCTCAGTACATGATGATGGCAGGGATGGGCTACTGGGCTGAGTTTGTCCTTGTGGAGACTCCTTGCCCATCTGGATCCAGAATAGTTCCTGAGGCATGCAAACCCCTTTGCCATGACAGAGCTGTAAGTACAACTAGAACATACTGACTTGGTGTTGCTCTGTCTCATAACAGCCACTTGGTTACCTTGTCTCATAACCATTTGCTGCTGAAAGGCTTGTGTGAGCTTGTGAGCTACGTTAACCACACTTCAGGATTAAAGGTCCAATGTGTACGATTTAGGAGGAGAGATCTCATTACTGTATAAGTGCCTGAACATAAGCATTGTCAAGGTTGATGCTAGATGCCACTAAATTCCCACTTACAGGTCCTTTAAAGGGTCAGTCTGGTGTTATTCTGTATTTTTGTTATTGTCAACAAATCCTGTCAAAAGTTTAATGTTTAAAACCATCAAGCATTACACTCTCAGTACTTCCTGCCCCAATCTCGT